CGACTTAAAGGCACAGTTCACGATAATTTTGCGTAACCCAGATTATGAAGAAAAATGGAAGATGGAAAATAGTGCGATGGGGGCGAAGGAACTGCGTGGGTCGGTGTTTCCGATGTGAAAAAAAGGCTTTAAAAAATCGCTAAAAAGGAGGCTGGACGAGAATGAGACCAGAAGGATGAAGAAGAGCGAGGCGTTTGGACGAGCTACACACAGTGCGGCATTGCGTACGTGTGGGTCCTGGTGCGATAAATGACTACGATAAGTAAAAGTTCATTCTTTTGTAAGCACATAAACAAAAAAAAAACCTCAGTAACAGCAAAAATAACTCACCTTTTTCAGCCTCTTGAGGTAGGAAATTAAAGGCACTGTTCGCGATGATTCAATGGGCGGGTGTGTCGATGACGCGTCCGCCTCTCATTCGACGCCACGTCAGACTGTCTGACATGACATCGAATGAGAGGCGAACAGGTCATCGACACACCCGCCCATTGAATCATCGCGAACAGTGCATTTAAGTAGGGGATCGCGGCAGCAATAAGAATAACAGAGGAGAAAAGAGTGGGAGAAAACATCGTCTAACCACTCGGTGATCAGCTGATTGTGTGTGGGTCCTAGAACAAATTATTGCAATCTGTATCGCCTCGACACTCACCTAACGTGAAATCGATAGGGGCGGGAAGGTCGCGCGAGCTGGGAACAGGGCTTTCACTGTGCCCCAACCCCCGCGTTTCCGGGTCCGAGAGGGTTTTTCTATTCTTGGGGGCCACTGAGTATTCCTAAGGGAAGAACTCAGTGACCATTTTTATCGTGAACCGCGCCTTTGAAGTGGCCAGCTGATATACAAGTCAGTGCTTTGAATTTTTCTTGAACCAACCAACTGTGGATACTACGAAGGGATCTAAAGCTTGATTGGTTCGAACCATACCTGAACCTTGCTCATGATAATGCGCTACCTGCATTACAACACGTACACCGTAATCTATTTCGCAATAAAAATATCTACCGTATGAATTCCAAATCGATTGCAGGTAAAATGAGTTCCTGAATTCAAGCTATTATGTGGCAGAGTAAATCGTGAGAAAGTCGATGGAGTCTGACAGACATTGAAACCAATAAGTCAGTTCTATTGCGTGAAACATGATGAAGCTCTTTAACCGTCCGTCTGTAAGCAATGTTTTGCCTTCATAACGTTATAAAGTTGAAGAGCTTCAGAGGGGTGGAATTGTGGACACTGACACCTCTGCTGCAGAATCCAAGAACAGTTCCTCGTCAAACTCCTATACGACGCGCAGCCGATGCCTCGATCAACTAGAAAAAGTCGTACTTGACCTGATTGGCTTACATTATCAAATCTTCAAGATCAGTTTGCAATACATACAGTAAAAGCGTCTACGGGTCGCCATCCTTATCCTTGTTTTCTATCCAAACTGGCCACACACAAAGATGTGAACCCTTTATAATTCTGCTTTCAAATCGGAATAATCATGAGTAAGTAGACTTTTTTGCCGTATAGGAACCAACATACTTTAATTAGTAGAGTAGACGGTGGTTATTAGCCCGTAACCTACCTATACCTACGTACCCATCATCCGGAGTCGCATCACCTCGCCTAGCCATCGAACGGCTCGAAATTTCACAGCGAAAGAGATCTTTGCGAAAAGATCTACAATCCAGTTCTATTTCCAAAATCATTTTGCACGTTTTCTCCATGGCAAACGAATTGAAGAAGAAGTTCACGGCTCATAAATAAACCGACTCTTCCGATTCTGCATCTCTTTGCCGAATTTCTGCAGGTAAGTGCACTTATCGCTGCAACAGTTATTCCGTTCCACTAACAAGGCTACAATATTCCATAGACTAATTCCCCAACCTCCGAACTACTTCAAACAATGATCGAGAAGCTAATTGTTTTAATTCTGTTAAAACAACAACCACTTCAATCAGATAGATGAAAAGGCTCGGGAAAAAATCGATGGGCAATGAGGTGGGCACGTGAATCCACAAACAAAAGGCTCTAGCGGAGACGTTGTTTGAAAAAATAAAAAGAAAAATTCAAAAAGCTAGTATAACGCATATTCTAAGTTGAAGAACAGTGCACACACAAACCTACACACAGACTAGTGGAAGACACCAAGCATAACNGGTTTCGATCTCGATTGGCGAACACCGGCGTGACCTTCCAAGGTGATGTAAAAACGTTGTGATGACTAGGTTTTCGTTCCTTTGATCGTTTTAAACCACTACACAATCGCTCACAGTCTGATGCAAATTTGAGCACCAGGGCAAGCTTCTTTGACGTTCAAAGTCTCTCTAGCGTGAATAGAAAGCCAAATCACAAAATGAAATGAAACGCTTCCAGCCTTTCAAAAACGACGAACTTGTCGAGACGTCAGGCACGATAAGTGTTCAACCATCAAAGGAAACCAGTTTGACACAGAAGCATTGTTTACTAATAGAATGAAAGCGCAGGTTCCAAGGAAGGCGAACACAAAGGCTAAAAGTCACAACGATTCTCAGCTGATTCAAAACACCCGACTATTCACTTATAAAGAAGCTTGTAAAAGAAAAAAAGCAATCCGAGAAAAAGAAAAGAAAAAGAAGAGAGGAAAGCAACACAGACTTCTGTAATGCAGGAGAGGGTTTTTTGAGCAAACTGGGTTTTGTAAACTTTGACTATATGTAAGAAGAGTTCGTTTCTGAAGACTAGGCCGAACAGAAAATGAATAAGCTCGACTACTCCAAAAACTATCGGTCTAGCATAGCAGACGAATGTTATATTCATGGTTACAGTTGTGCCTGACAAATCTGCAATAGACCTGTGATCTTTACCTTCCCCTTCTATCTTCCTTTAAGAACAAGCGCACCACGAATCGACGCCACAAGCACCAACTGGGGCGCAAATTTCCGTTATTACTTGTCAGCTTTAGCAAATCGCTTAATGAGCTGTACTACTTGCCATTTACTCTACTATAGTGTTACAGGCATAGTTCATAACTCATTCAAAAAACTTAGAGATAATCAGAAAGCAACATTACGAATGGGATAGGAAAACTGCACGACACTGTTTAAATCTATTAAAGAAATAAGAAGATAGTTCTAAAAAAGCGGGACAGGGAAAGGGGATAGAGGGCAGAGCGTTTGTGGTGTTCCGTTGATATTAAAAACTTGATGACAGTTCCAGTATGAGAAAAGTTGTGTAATATGGAGAATTGGGCAAATAAGGAAAGGCGAAAACAGTGGCAAAAAAAGGATATTGAAGAAAGATGGAAAAATCCTGAAAGGAAAAACTATTCGAAAAAATAAAGGGAGAAATTCTAAATGATGAAAGGGTTGAGAGCACTCATCATTAGCAAAACTTGAAAGAAAAATTAAAAAGTACTAAAAGGCGCTGGAGAAATTTGTCAAAATATGATCACCAAAAAAACCTCAGTAACTTCGAGTATTGAAAAAGATTAAAAATTGAGCATCAGGCCGACCTCGCAATTCGCTCTCACAGTTGATTTACATTTTTCAGTAACTATTGCCGGTATTAGGAGATAGCGTATACTGACATCAGCTTTTCCTTCAAATCCTTTCTCTTTCCTGTTCAACAGTTTAAGAATTAAATGGCATCAGAAACAGAAGAGTTTCTCGCTGTTCATATGTTCAATCAATTCACTCACCTCCAGTTTTGCAATATAAAGAAGGCAAACAAATCTGATGAGAAACAGCATCAAAAACAATAAGGATTCCTAGCAAGAAAAGACCGAAGCCCGAGCACGGTGAAATTATATCGAAACCTGATCGCGAAAAATCAACGCCGAATGAAAGGGAAACTATGGTCCCCGTCTTCCAACATCGCATCGATAGCCGTGCACCCAACGTGGTTCCTGTGATTCCAGCTGCCCTTTTTATACTAGCACCTTTTCGGAAATGGAACCTCAAATCCCTACATAGAAAATGAGAAAGAAGAGAAAAAACACCAAAGGTTAAGGGTGCTCCAATGAATGGCACATAGCACCGAGCTACAACAATTCAATAAGCTGCTAGGATTATTCATCTAAAAACTTCGCAATTTTCATTTTTCTACAGAGGTGTCTTTTTCCCCTCCTGTTTAACTACTTCTGAAATAAACCGCACTTCGAAGGACAAAATGCTGATAATTTCTTTGTGATCAGGGATAAAGACAACTGACATAAAATTCCACTGCTTAGACTGAGTGGTGCGTCAGAAGAGAATAAAGAACCTTAAGTAGAACACGACGGTTCTTGGTTTCAGCAGGGCGAGTATTCCTAGCCTCAAGATGATCGGAACCCAGCGAGCTCCATAATAGACCAACTCCACTTACTCATGCTTTTGTCATGTCCAATTTAAAACCCGTATCCAAGTAACGAACAGTCCTGACTATACCATAATAACTTGGAGTTACGTAAGGTCATACAACATTACGTAAATAATACCCTAAAATATATCTCCTGTCCACTGAGACGCCGGCAAGCCACACTGCCATGACACTGACGCAGCGCAAAAATAAGGGGAAAAACGAGACATGCATGGATTTCGGTATCGAGCAGAAGCTTAATCAGATCAAAGTTAAAAGTGAGAGATTTGAAAGTTGGCTACACAACGATTTTATGCATTTAACATCTCTGTAAAAGCACGAGATCTGTAGCGAGAATGAAGCACTGAGACATTGACGTGACCGAAACTTTCCAGTTGACCGACAACATCTAGACAGTTGAAGTCAACATTTATTACGATAAGTATCATCTACGTGACTGTGGTACACAACTGACTGAAAGGATCATACAGGAGCCATCGGAAAAGGGTATTTGGTAACGAGGATAAAAATGTAGCTGATCAATCGACGTGTGTATACCTGATTGATGTCGCATAACCGGTCGACAACAAGTAAATAAAACAAACAACCTCTCAAATATGCAACAAAAACGATCAACAAGTCGCTAGCGAATCAATTTATGCGAAGAAGCACTCAATGTTCCCCTCAACCCGTAATAGTATCAACGTTCTTTTGTAAGACCCCTTTCTCGAGCTCGTGCATCACGGTCAATTTCCCGACGAAGATGCTCTTTGAATGAGAAAATGTCACCATCCCACTTCTTGATTGTCTGGTTATCACATACCCAGACCTCCTCCGCCACCTAAATGCTGCCAGCATTACTGCACAAAATACTTATGGCAACCAAAAACTGAGCTCAAAATAAATAGGTAAACAAAAACGATTCAAAGAAAAGTTCACCTGACTAACGAGACGGAAGTCGTGGGAAACGAGAATCATCCCACCGGGAAAGCAATTGATTGCCTCAGCAAGGGCATCAATAGACTCCATATCGAGGTGGTTCGTGGGCTCATCAAGTAAAAGGAGATGAGGTTGTTGCCACGCCAGCCATGCAAATGAAACACGGCATCGCTGCCCATCCGACAATTGCTTCATTGGGCAAACCTTGAAGGAGAACCCGATAATTCCATAAACCTGAACTTCCTGATTGATGTAACGAAGCAAGACTTACTTGTTCTCGACCTGTGATGCCGTAGCGACCGACGATCTTCCGCATCTCCTCTTTTTCTTTAACGTCGGGGAATGACGACATCATGAACTCCAGAGCAGACTTTTCAAGTGGGAGCTCTTCGTGAAGATGCTGGACAATACAGTATTACTTCTGATAAGTTCATATATAAGATCATGAAAACTATTAAAAGCTACAGTGCGGAGATTTTGCGGAGACTTTTGTTCGGATGCACAGTTTTGAGGGATTATATTGAAAAACGAGTGGACAAACCGTTCATGCAGTTTATTACAGTGTTCTCAACACATGTTAGTAGAATATACAAATGAAAAATAAACGAGCCAGAGATATACAACCTCAGCTGGGAACATGTGACGGAGAACAACGCGCACACACANAGCAGCAATTGCTCAATAGGTGGATTTGAAGCGAAGCATGTTTTAGATGAACTCACACGAGCCTGTACGGAACGCTTTTGTAAAGGTCGCTGCAAAATTAACGCGNTTTGTTCGGATGCACAGTTTTGAGGGATTATATTGAAAAACGAGTGGACAAACCGTTCATGCAGTTTATTACAGTGTTCTCAACACATGTTAGTAGAACATACAAATGAAAAAATCGGGGCAGAGATATACAACCTCAGCTGGGAACATGTGACGGAGAACAACGCGCACACACATAAGTACACAAACAGAACTGTAGACGAGCACTGTTGAACATGAGCATGAGAATGGAATTGCAATTTTAGTGGACACAAGTATATTACTTTTTTTGTTTCTTATCGCATAATCTACTAACAATGTACATAGCAGCTAGCAAGAATAGGATGACGAGGAGCAACCCTCTATCACTGATGGCATTAAGGAAATCAGCCACTTCTTTTCCGGTCTGCACAGCATGGCTAGGTTGCTCTTCAACTTTTTCAGGAGTACGTGCTGTTCCCTCCGGTAAGACCCTAAAAATCTCCTGATTTCAAAATGTTCCAAACAAATAGCCTCAAATCTATAAGTTTGTAACTGGGCTCGCTATTGGACTCCCGAATAAAGAAGCATCAGATAGCGATAAAAACTGGCTTTTACAACCGATCCCATCTACATAGAAAGATTCATGGCTCGTAATGATGAACGATCTCAAACCAGTCAATTTCATACAGCAGAAGCACTTACGAGGACACTTCCATGCCTTCTGCTTTGCCCGCGGCATCTAGCAGCAATTGCTCAATAGGTGGATTTGAAGCGAAGCACGTTTTAGATGAACTCACACGAGCCTGTACGGAACACTTTTGTGAAGGTCACCGCGAAATTAACGCCAAGATGATCTGCTTACAATAAGGCGAATTGCGGTTTGAGAAGCATCGGATTTACTACCAGTGGAATCCAAATATCGAGTGACGATCAATAGTTTTGGCGGAGGCACTTCTTTCCAGTGTTGAAATTGTGGAGGTTTTGTCCATGTTAAAACTAATCGCACTTGAGAATGCGGCGGAATTTCCGCATTACCTGCAGGCAAGGCCTGTAAAACTGATGCTCAACAATATTATCTATCTCCATTGATTCGAATATAAGAATCGTGATGGCATTTTGATTGCGTGTGTGACCTAAACAAAGACTTGCGCTGGCCAACCAATGCGCAAATCTGTTTCTACCCTCCCAGACGAGTCCATTATCTTACCCATAAACCCCTTACCTCGGAAAGATGGAAGACGTTGTGATGAGCTGGTGTAGATTCGGCTTTCAGACTTCACTGATTCAACCGACGTCCTTTCGTCCGTCGGGAGCGTTGCGTGTATGCGAAGGATGTCTTAGACACTTGTTGACAACAGTGGCATGTGATCCAGTGTTGTAACAAGTGGCTAGGGCCGCCGTCGTACGCACGCAACGCGCAGGACGGACGGAAGCGGTTGAATAGTTGAAGTCTGAAAACAACCATCTGGTCCTCAAGACCATGCATGGATGATCTTGTGCGCTTCTCCTAATACACCGCCTTACTCCCTTCAATGTTTTGCTAACAACTATAGATGTATTCAACTTGTATCTAGCTTATACATTGATTTGCAAGAGAAATCTTAGTGTGTGTAAGGATTTTAGGCTCCCGAATGGTATGGTAAATTTCAGGGGAACTGCCAGCTCGTACATAGCTTCAACTACACAGTGGCTTAGTGTTAAAAGGGAAACGCTAACACTTGATCATTCGATAGCTCCAAAAACAGGGATGAATCGGCGAAAAACGAAAGGGGAAACAACTCTTCAGTGTACGAAGAAGCCTACGATGGCGCACGCGTTACTGTCCGGCAAAGAAGTATGCTTCAGCATCAAAAAGCGCGGGGTCTTCGAAAAGGTAGGTGACTGAAACATCACTGATAACGCAACGCTCAATTGCGAATATTTTCTTACGGGTGTGGCGCACTAGGAACGAAATTGTCGCGTCGCGGCAAGAGACGTCGCGCGCGAAGGAGCGTAGCAGCATGTAGCAGCAAGTAGGAAATACTGGAACAAATGGACCAACAGTAGGATCATGCCAAAAGTAATAATCGCATAGCGATTTAGCTGTATGAAGAACGCCAAAACTGATAAACGAGGCCAGTGGTCCGCGACAGCCGCGTGCGGCGGATCGATTACGCAAAACCGTTCCTACTGCCCGTCTCCCCTTTCTTACCACTGATAAACAAGCTCATAAAGATTTACGAAAGCATCGAGAGATAGCGCTTAGTTCCATGATGAAAGTCAAAAAGAGCACAAAGCAGCACTTACAGATACATTGCTGCCAACATTACTTTTCAATTTGAAGTGAAGTGCTCGGTCAGATATATTACACAGCAAAAGTTGTACTCGGGCCACATTTGGACGATCGACAATCGGACGGAATGTGAGTACGGTAGCCTGAGCAGAAAGACTACCTGCATGCATGGAAACTACCATTCTTTATGTTACCTTGATATTTCGATTCAAGGACTTCGTCGCAGTCGTTTGAGTCTTTTCTGTCTTAACAGGAGCTGCCACACCTGAGGTTGGAGGGACAACCTCTGTCCCTTTTTCATCACTAGCAATGTTGCCTAAGTATTTATTAGGATTACTTTCTCGAAACAGTTATTGTGAAAGTTGACTCTCTTTGCTTTGTAGATACTAATAACAACTAGGAAATGGGAAATGTGATGAAAGCAGTACAATCGTTTTACCAACCGTCTACCATTTAACCTCCGATGCTGGGTTAGTAGTTTAGATTGAAATACCACTACGAGCACTTAAACTAAGTTAAATGATGGGTAGGCGTAGCGCGAATGTTATCAGGACAGTATGAAGAAAACAAGTAAAACCACGAGCTGATAACGGTGAACTCGTTTAACTGATCGCTTATTGATATAGGGGTGGTTAACTTCATGAAGACCATGCGTACTCAGAAGAGAACACCACGTCAAAGGCTCACAATCGAATAGTTGTACTTAGTACTAACCTTCGTCGCTACTTGAGCTTGACGTCGATCCTGAACCCGCCGCAGTCCTACGACCAGTGCGTCTT